ATATATAATTCGTTGTTGTTCTCTGGATTTGAATATATTGACTGTGTGTCCCGGTGGGTGTTGATTTATATGTGCAGTTATTGATTGATATACACAGACACGATCAAATTCTATTTCGGTGGTATAATTTTCATCTCCAGTGGTTTTCTAGGTTTTTGTTTACTGTAGTAGTTACTCAGTGTTTATGTAGTCAATTTGAAATAGATTTTTTTTCCCAAATAATTTGGCCAATTACTTCTAAATTCCTCGATACATGCTTTAAAGTCTTTGTCGATTGGTTTCATAAAGTAAGGTGTTATAGTGTGATGGAATATAGGTTGAACGTACGTATAGATCATGGTTTGTTCAAGTGATTCTATTTAAATTATTCAGTTCTTTTGCGTATTTATGTGTGAATATGCCATACTTGTGAAGTTTTTGATAAAATTAGTGAAATATGATAAAGGAGCTTCATAATGGATTTTTGCATTCAGTCAAGCAAATAGTTATAATGTGTTTTAAGTAACTTTCCCAATATCGTGATGGATGATTCAACTGCCTTATGATTTTTTTTTCTGTGTTTATTTTGTATAATGAAAAGCTTGCCAGCAAGCTGTGATCCCTAGATCAATGTGTGATTACAATAATAGGATAATCTTGTGAAAATCTAGGCCTCTTTGAGCTGGCTTGATTAAAGTGGAACTTTTCATTTTTTTCTCTTTATAAATATTCATGTTAGAATACGTATTTAGTGTTGCTTTTGTTAAATTTGTTCAAGTGTTTGACTAAATTATGTTTTTGACTGATTAGGATCAGACTCTTTGACTGATAAATCTCTCCATTCAAAGCGACATGAAGGGAAAAATAAACAATTCGCAAGTATACGGTATTGAATTTTCATGTTTGTTCAGATTAGGCAATGAGGTATGTGAATCGATTTTGGTTTGATAATGTTGTTAATCTTTGTTTACAATATCGTTTATGTTTTACAGATATTGAAGGACAGAACTCTCTAACTTTAATTTGAAATTGTTACTGAGAAGCATGATTTGAAGAAATATGAAATTTCAAAGAATTTATTTGGTAACAAACAGATACGTTGTTGTTCGAAAGATAAAGAATCTTTACTCAAAGAAAACAAATCACTTGAGAAACAAGCAACTTCAACACCGCTCACATAAAATCTTTAATAGGAAGTCAAATCAAGATTGAATTTGCTTCTGTCTTAATAATTGTCTTAATAATGTATCGACTTTCTGTATTGAAATTAAGGTGGTACACAGTATCATGAGACTCAAAATTGTGTTCTATGGTACTTTTGGGGTCATGTAGCATAAGGAGAATAGTAAAAATAATTAACCTAACTTGAGCTGGTAATATTCACTTTTTTTTTGTTTTTGTGATTTGTTTGGTAGATCGTCATAAAAGCTCTTAGGAACTAAGTTATTGACTTTGATAGGTAATTAAATAAAAAAACTTAAGTGATCACCTTATTATTGCTTAGAAATGATGTATTATCGGCATAACGTCTTCTATACACTACTAGAAAATTAACATACCTAGCAATAGCAAGGTTCTCTACATCGGATCATATA